GAATATGAAATATGGAATGTGGAATATGAAATATGGAATATGAAATATGGAATATGGAATATGAAATATGGAATATGGAATATGAAATATGGAATATGAAATATGGAATATAGAAACTGGAATATGAAATATAGAATATGGAAAGTGGAATATGGAAAGTGAAATATGGAAAATAAAATATGGAAAGTGAAATATGGAATATGAAATATGAAATATGGAAAGTGGAATATGGAATATGAAATATAGAAAGTAGAATATAGAAAGTGAAATATGAAATATGAAATATAGAATATGGAAAGTAGAATATGGAATATGGAATATGAAATATGGAATATGGAATGTGGAATATAGAATGTGGAATATGGAATATGGAATATGGAATATGAAATATGAATGCAAAGAATTAAAAACCGTCAAAATACTTGAATGCAAAAGCTATCATAAACTATTCATTAATTCGTCTTCGAATGCAAAGAATTAAAAGGCGTTCGAATACTTTCGCGTCTCCCTGTATGCACAGTGCCGTCGCGGCTCGGCGCGCCGGACCTCTCGATCCTTGCTCGAGGAGAGTTTCGAGAGAGTGACGGAACAGCGGACGAGAAGGTTCGTTCCTTCGCCCGGCCGGGGCTTCACACGGGGGCCACGTGTGCGTCGGGTTCCATCGGCGCACACGCCCGTCCGTGACTCTGTTGCAGGGGGGACTGCACTCGCGGAGTGCAGCACCGGTGCCGAGGAGTCGCATCAGCTCGAGAGGCACGTAGGCACATCGACGCCTACTCGTTTCCAGGCCAGGTGGGGGATGCCGGCAACAGTTTTCGTGAGAGACGCCGGAACAACGAACGCGGCTCGGCTCGTCCGCTTCGGTAGCGCGGGCATTTTCGAGCGGAACCGGCCGATTTTTAACCCTCGAACGGGCCGACGGAGGAACGGCCAATAAATACCTTTTGACCCAGTTTTCACGGCTCGATGTATAGGGTGACCGCGCGATTCCGCGGCAAACTTTGGCCGTCTGTGCTCCACAGGTGAACGTTACAAGGTTATCGGAGGGCATTATTCTTGATTGTTCGTCAGCAGTTTCATTAACGAAGTCATGTCGAATTATAATGTGAATGCTTTCTAATTGACGCTAATATTGGAAGAGAAGATACGATTATTTTTTTATATTAGTTTATAGTTATTTATAGTTTATAGTATTTAGTATTAGTTGTTTAGTTTATAGTATTATAGTATTATATATTATAGTTTATAGTTTTTAGTTAATATTGTACTTTTTGTAGTCCATAGGTTTTAGTTAATATTATAGTTTTCATAGTTGTTGACAATCGGTAATTATAAAAACGTGCCGCAAGGCTCGAATGTAATATGTAATGTAATGTAATATGTAACGTAATGTAATTCGTAATATAATGTAATACGTAACGTAATGTAATTCGTAATGTAATGTAATATGTATTGTAATGTAATGCAAGGCACTGTAATATATAATGTAACGTAATGCACTGTAATATGTAATGTAATGTAATGCACTGTAATATGCAATGTAATGTAATGCACTGTAATATGCAATGTAATGTAATGTAATATGTAATGTAATATATAATATAATATAAATATATTACATATAATATAATAATATAGTATAATATAAAAATCATATAAATCCAGTCTCAGCATTATTATAAAACAACAAAGATTGTTTAAACCTCGGTAGTTCCAGTGTTAATAAACAATAAAAGCGAAACAATCGATTTAATCGGGCCAACGATTCGCGAACGAATTGCGTTTCCACGGTAAAAAGCGTAAACCGCGTTGTACTGTCACCCGAGCCACGAAATTATCTAATTTGTACCTGTTCGTCGAACAGGAGCCGCAGATAGGCGGCGATATTTATTTCGCGGCGGCGAAACGACCGGTTATTAATCGCGCGATTTTCCCCGGCCGCGTTGTCCAACACGCGCCGCGGCCGCGTTTAATGCCGAGAAATTGAAACCGTCTCGCCTAAGAAGCTTACGATAAATTACGCGTATTACGTACCGCTCATCGTCGCGGCTGGAATTTTAACGAACCGAGGCTGGTTTCCGCGGCGCGCCGCGCTTTATCAGCTTCAGCGAGCCGCGGCCGGGTCGCGGCGTTGCGTTTCCGAAACCGCGAAAAACCTATTCTCTGTCTCCCCGACGGATCGGGAAATTATTCTTAATTAACGGGAGAATTGTAATTTCGATGCGTAATTTTGTTATCGCCGGTTAATCGAGTCTCGTTTCTAAACGCTAATATTTCTGTTCTCCGTGCTTCTCGCATGTTTTCTTTCGTGCTCGGAGTTAGTTCGATCGGCGAAACGTTACCGCGATTTCTCAGCTATCGGACACTTCCTCCGCGATAACCGCAGCGCGGACGGAGCCCGAATGATCGAGAGATGGACAGGAGATAGATCCGAGCGGGTTCTTGAGGCGATTTGGAGCAACTTTTTCCTTTGCGAAAATGCGATCCGAGGCTTCGTTTACGAGTTATTAGCGAAAAACGCTGACCAATGCGTGATCGCGCGCGGCTGACGCCCCGCCCTCGCGACCACCGCCGCTGCGCCATACGGCCGGCGCGACGCGGTAGCGGTCAAGTAGGCGGAGCGCCGGCTGCGCTCGCTCTCCGGTTGGTCCGCGTTTTTCGTTGATAACTCGTTAACGACGCGTCGGAGAACATTTCTGTAAAGGAAAAAGTTGCTTCGAATGACCTCGGGAATCTATTATTTCCCGGAAACACTATAATTTTGGGACACCCTGTATCTACGATCTGTTATTAGTTACTGCATTTGTAAGAACACGCGACAAGCATCGACGGGAAATTTCTTATTCGTTTGCCGCTCGCGCGCCGCATATTTTCATACCGTTCCTTTCGAAACTGGTATTCATAGTAAGATGAATGATCTCTCCGCCGGTCGCGTAAGAATGCGAACGGTCTTTACGATCGGGTTTAATAATAACTCTTTGGTAACGAGACCGCCAATGACGATAATTCGAATTTGTTGCAGAAATCTCCGGCGAGTTGCTCGCTGGTTCAGCGAATTGCATCGTGTTTTTAATAACATTAATATTAATAATAATAATAATCATAATAATATTAAATATTATATATATTATATATATAATATAATATATGATATATAATATTAAATATTAATAATAATAAT